CGCTATCAGCACTTTTTAAATCGGTGTCGATGAAGTCTACCTTTTTCGATCTTTTATTTAGTTCTCCGTAACTCTGCAATTTCGGGCTTTGTGCGCGTTGGTGCGCTACCTTTTTTCCTGTAGCAATAATATCTCATTTTTCACTTAAATCTTGCCGTTTCTCTATTACGAGCCTAAAACCAAAATTTGACATGTTTTGACATCGTTGTTTATCTGGTTGTTATGGCAATTTTTATTCAAATTCGCTACCGGTCTGTTGTTTCTACTTCGATAATTCCACATAAATACTCTTTCCTCTTGGCCATTTACAATAAATTTGCTTTTAATTTAAATAATTTTCCGTTCTCTCTAAAAAGGTATAAAAGCCGAACAATCGGTCAAGAAAGGCAGTCTCGCTTCGGTTCTCAAACTCGAAGTATCTGCTAAAGGCCTTATCCCGGGGCCGCACTGCCCCGGGATCCTGCAAGCCTCTGTCCTGCCTGAAGTCGCCGGGACCCTGCAAGCCTCTGCTCTGCCTGAAGTCGCCGGATCCTGCAAGCCTCTGCTCTGCCTGAAGTCGCCGGATCCTGCAATCCTCTGTCCTGCCTGAAGTCGCCGGATCCTGCAAGCCTCTGTCCCGCCTGAAGTCGCTGGATCCTACAAGCCTCTCTCCTGCCTGAAGTCGCCGGATCCTGCAGGCCTCTGTCCTGCCTGAAGTCGCCGGATCTTGCAAACCTCTGCATTCACCTGAAGTCGTCGCCTAGACACGCCCACGCCTTCACCTACGCTGTGCGTGCTCGTTCCAGGCGCTGTGGGCCTACCACCAGCACAGCCTGTGTATAATCTGTGAGCAGCGAAGACCACCACCAAAAGCAGTGTACCACTTGGATCTTCGGCCTCAGCTTCAATATTCATCATTTTTATTTTCTTTTTATTTTTTTAGAAATAATTGTTAATCACGTCACCCATCTTCATCCTCATACATCATTTTTTTTAAATATAAATCTGTAAATATCTTTTTTTATATTTTAAATAGATTATTTGTTTTGCCCTATTTTTGTTGTTTTGTTGTTGCTAGGTTAGGTTCCTTTTTTGTTCTTAATTGTCGCTTCACGACAATTTTAAGTAAAAAATCTAAAAAAGAAGAAATTATAAATATAGACTATTTATAATTTCTTCCGTAACAAAAAATATTTAGATTTTTCAAACTGATCACAAACTTTTTTGATGTGTGTATTGCGGCACTATTGGTGGTATTCTGCGAAGAATGGAAGAATATTTATTGATGCTACAAATGCTTTGGGGCTTGGAGCTCAAAAAACATCACATCACCTCTAAAATTGTTAAACGAAATTTTTAATTGGAAACCAACGCAGAGTCGATGCTTTCCCACCAATAATGCTACTCCCATCACCACTGTGAATTCTCGGTTCGCCTTCTTTTTGTCTGACCGCCGACCAACATGTTGCATCGGGAACAGGCGAAATCGCCACTTGGAAATAAAATTGCTTATGTCAATATATCTCGATAGGTACGCGATTGTGTATTGAAATGTAAGTAAACGTAATTAATAAATACCTACTCACTGTACTTTTTTTTATAAAACGAGTGGTAAACGGACTTACAGTCCACCAGATGGTAAGTGGCTACAGCAGTCCATGAGCACCTGCAGCCAAATTCAAATAAAGAAAGATACACGTGCCTTGTCTGTAATACTGGTTCTCTAAATCCTTCAGATTTTGTCATTCTTTAAAAAAAACGTTACCACCACACTAGGATTTTCTCCTGTATCGTGGAGGCAGTTTACAAACATAAATTGCACGAGGACAAACATCCAGACCCGGAACAATTATTTGTAGGCCATACAAATACTTATTCCGTGCGGAATTCGAACCCGCGGCCCCCAGCGCAACAACTGATTGCTAAGCCACTGCGCCACGGAGCCGTCAGATCGAACAACAGCAGCGATATAAAATTTTTACAAGGTAGTAAAAAATTATACCTATTCATTTTATTTATTCCGATAAGTCATTAATATAATATAACGACAGTTGATTAGTATTAGTACAAATAAATGTAACGGAATTTTATAATTAAATTTTTACCTAATTTCAGACAGTCTGGTAATCTGAAAAATTTTGCACTAATTATGAACCTATGACATGACCTAGATTCTCACTAAGATCATCACAGGTTTTATTATACACATTATCAATTTAATGTTGTTTCAAAATTTATGTTACCAGTTGATGAAAATTTAAATGTTTTTGTATTTCAGTGTAGTAATCTGTCCATACATTTAAAATAAGTAATTTGATATATTCAAGTATCAACATCCACAATAAAGTACATACTTATAAAATATTGAAGTTTTGATTCATATCCAAAGACAATGGCTCTGACATAGTAAAGTATCAATACCTATAAAAAAGTACTAGGAGGTTTAAAGTTTGGTTCTATGTCCAATGGCTTGGATCGTTTTGTTTGTAATTATGCTTTGTATCAACTGTAATTTTTGTTGGAATACACCTATTTGGGTATTTTTTTACCCGGCTACTACACCTTGATAATAGGATATTCTGTGATAATAGTAAATTTATTACTATAATATTAAAATAATAACAAATAAAATTGAAATAAAAATAATAAAAATCTGCAGTTGCCAACCCGCTTGATAAGATAAAACTATGGAAAAATTCCCCGTATGAGGTAACCTATGGGAGAGGCCTATGTTCAGCGGTGGACCTTTATTTATTTATTTAACAATTTATGTACACACAAAATAATGTTACAATGAAGAAAAAAATAAGATATTTTGTACAAATGCACTGCTTATTTCATATTGAAATTTCTTCCAGCAGGCCTGATACTGGACAAATTAAAAGAGAAGCTGATATAGTGTTCACTCTCATAATAAAATTTTATAATATTAATATACTTAACATAAATTAAAGATAATAAAAACATATATCCATGTAAACATACATATAACTAAATACCAGTATAAATACATATACACACACATATATTACATATATAAATATAATATATTATGGGTGGTGATGTTGGATTGTATAGTATGTTAAAGAGGAGGCATAGGATTCGGGTATTTCTGCGAAGTCGGATTGGGAGCCACTTGAGCTGTTTGCGATAGGAGGAGACGTGGTCAACTAAATACCAGTATACATACATATACACACACATATATTACATATATAAATATAATAATATATTATGGGTGGTGATGTTGGATTGTATAGTATGTTAAAGAGGAGGCATAGGATTTGGGTATTTCTGCGAAGTCGGATTGGGAGTCACTTGAGCTGTTTGCGATAGGAGGAGACGTGGTCATACTTTTTTAGTCCGAAAATATAATGAATACATAAGTTTTGCAAGCGCTCAAGTTTGTTTAATTGCTCCTCAGTCACATCCAAATAACAGACATCAGCATAATCAAGAATCGGGAAAATAAGTGTTTGGACAAGAGAAATCTTCGTTGATAACGGCAGAAAATGTTGAAGGCATTTTAAGGAATGAAAAGTATAATTGATTTTCCTGCTAATTTCTGTGATATGTGTATTCCATGTCAACTTGCAATCCATGATGATGCCCAGATTCTTAACCGTTTCTGAAATGCTTAGTGGAATGCCATTAATTTGCAGAGTTGGCAGTGAAGAAAAGTCAAGTAATTTACGAGTAAACCTGGTGCCTATAATCATTGCTTGTGATTATAAGCACCTTTATAGATAGATAGAAAGGTTTAAAAAAACAGATAATATTGGTGTCAATCTTATTAATTTACTTTTCAATAAATAAGTACATTAGAGTAAGATATAAATTAATTGATCAACATAAAATATAAATGAGGTTCATTTGATAACAACATACCTACATCTTTCAATAAATCTATTGAATAGACTACAAGAGGTAAAAAACAACAACCAGATTGTACACCTAAAAGCAAACTAGGTAGATCTTTGGAAAATAATTAAATGCATTTGTTTGTTTTAATGCGAAAATAATTTACTATTTACAATTTAATGTGAATATATTTTACCTTTTAATGTTATATCACATAGTACATTATGCTAACATACCTTATTAAATTTGCACAAAGCTGATTTAAATAATTTAAACAAAATAATGACACAATAAAAATATATGTTATTTGTTTTGTCATGAGATAATATAAGGCGGAAACATATTATTTTGACTAAAAGCTTTTTACACAATATAAACACATCTAGCTAAAGGGGCACAAATCCCTAAAAAAAATGATAAAGGGAGAACTAAGACTGGGACATTCTCCTGTGAATAAATTAATAGCAAACTCCTAAACATTTAGTTGCACATTATTGCAACTATTTTAAATATTTTCTAGAACTTTTTTCAATTACAAAATCTTAAATAACTAAAAAACTTTACAAAAAATTATAGCGGATGTAAGCAACAGGTATGATACTATTGAGCAGCATTAATAACAAACCTCAATCCCAGAAGACACAATCATTTTCTGTGATTGATATGCCAGTATTAAACTAATTTTTTATTTATTTAGTTCTATTAATATTAAAATATAAATTATGTATATCACTTCATTCCTTAAAGACAAAATATGAATAAACAATTTTATTAAGTAATTTTAATAAAATCAATATCATTAACAACTTTGATGATAAAAAATAGCACCAATTGAATTTTGAATAATTTTCAAGTGGTAAAACTTCTAAATTATGGGTCATGTGAAACCAGTAGGAATAATAAATAGTGAAACAAGTATATAGCTAGTACTATCAATCCCATAATTAATAGACTATGTAGGTGTTTGAAATTTTTACAAGGTGAAAATAAATAATAACAAACATATAATAGGTCCTACTTTTAGCAATAAGACTACTGCGTAATCTTATAGCCAGTTTTATAAAAATGTTTACATCTTGGCATAGCTGTTTATTAAATAATAACTGATAAAAAAAAAGCATTTACATTAGTTAAAATCCTAATAATAAACTCACAATACATCAATAATCTGGACAACGAGTATGTGGTATAGGCTGAATTAAGCATTTTTGAGAATTAGCTTCAGTGGTCAATGCTGTATGGACTACTATAGCTGGTTGAGTGGGGGTTGGTGCATGGAGTTCATGACTTTCTCCAGGAGCCAGAGTTGCTATAGCTGCCAATAAGTCTGGGTTAATTATTGGCTCACCTTCTTCACGAGGTTCCCATCCTACAGGGGGACTAGATGGAGGTGAAATAAGGAACTGCTTCACAGGAGCTGGGGGTTTTAAATTTTTTAAAGAAATTGGTGTCACCGGTTGTGCGAAATAACAATTAATATGGGAATTATGAAATTTATACTGATGTAGTTGCACTCGAGCGTTCGCAGCTGCAAGAGGACTATCATAATTAACTCGCAATCTTTTAAAACTACGAAGCCACTGAAATGTAATGTTTTCTGAAAATGTACGGAATAAATCTTCCACTTCTTTTTTTAACTTTTCGTCAGCGAAAACATCACTAGGAATATTTGTAACGATCACCGATTTCGGTAAGTCATCGAACTCGTTTGTTTCGTCTTGAGAATCACTTTCTTGTTCTAAATTTGCTATATTCGGATGAACATTGGGCATGCCATCTTCAGGGTTTATGTAAACTTCATCTTCTCGGAACGATTCGTCGTCTTCTTTGTTAGCCATATTTATTCAATTATTAAATGTACCTACTGTACTTTTTTTTACATCGATCGATCGATGTAATACCTACAGATTCACAAAACAAAACATTAATCCCATGAGTATACAATCACTACTAATCATAGATAACTAAATATATAGCAAGCTACTAGGACTAACTTTTTCATGTTTTTTTTTATATACTATCAAACAAATTTTTGACCAATTATAATAGGAATAAAAATATGAATTATAAGTGAAAGGCACACCTGTTGGATGTTTATTTTAAGGAGATATTTATATTTGTAAATTTATGACAGTGATGAAAATGACGATACCTACTATCGTATGGAAATTATATTCTCATTTCTGGAAATGACATAACATGACTGGTACCTAATGTTTTGTTGTAACAAACAGATATTAATAGATTAAGTATGTATCCGAGTTGATTAAAATGTTATCTAAGGATTTTAATAAATCAGAATTCAGGGTATATACAGAATGGGGTCCCACATATATGCAATAAATGAAACCACATACTTGTTATCGCCTTTGCTGACGATATACAAAAAATGAACGTAATCGGTCCAGTAATTAGGTTAAAAAGTAGAGTTTTAATTTTAAGTAAATTAAAACTCTATAGAATGGGGTTACTAAGTCAATGGTTCGATGAACTTGAATCCTTGAACATTAAAAGCAACGTTGCCACGCAGTACAAACTAATGCGACGTATCGACAGCGGTGTCTTTTGGCAGCGTCCATAAACAAGCGGCACGAGACATGCAGCGTTCTTTAAAGGCAACGGCGCAAGTGCGCGCGCGCCTTTGTCGCAGAGAAGGACACCTCTTATCGACGATTAGCTTCTTTCAAAGGGAGTAATGATCGATAAACAAAAATAAATGTTTAGCTTGAAACATTTAGGGCATGTTTTTTTTTAGAATTATCGTGTTTTTATGATAATTCTAAAAATTCTACACTACGACCTAAGAATTTAAAGCTAAACTTTAAAGCTTAAAGCTTATAGACGTAGTAGATAACAAGCGTATAGACGACCTGACAGCCCGAAAACGCGTGACTAATTTTGATTTGTCATTGTGTGCGTTAGCTAGTGATGTACATTTTACTTACAAGGACTGTCGAAAAATGATTGTTAAGGAAGCGGTAAAATATTAAAAAACAGTTTAGTGCACGACATTGAATAACTTCAAAAATTAACTGATTTTTTACCATGAGAGTTTTAAAATAATTAAAAAATATTCATAAAACGTGTTCCTAATTCAAATGTAAAAAAATCCAGGTGACTCTACCGATAAACTAAAAAACTCTCCAAAAATCAGATAGGAAAGTCCTTTTTTAACATATTGGTTAATATAAATAAATTAAGTAAGGAACCAAGAATATACCTATTTATATTTTATATATTTCATAAAATGTTTTGATGGGGAAATAAAAAAAGAGTACATAATGACTGTTTTATTTTTCATACAAGTATAAGTTTTGATAATTACAATCATTTAATAATTCATAATTAAATACATTATAGAAGTTTATTTCAATATTCGACTTAAATAAGGGGTAAACTTAATAATTTAAGTAAGGTAACTTGCAGGGATCAGTTAAATAAGATTGCTCTATTTACAGGACAATGTGTTTATGAGGCTTCATCATGTTTCATGTTTATATTCTTTCAACTGTCCCTGAAAAGTATAAAGTAATAATAAACTTATTATCATTGTAGCTCCATGAATTTTAAAAACATAATGATCTTAACAGAGTATTGTGCATCAAGTGTCGGAGAACACAGATACACTCTCTATTCTCTCAATCTAGGTATGTTAAGGAAATGGTCACTCATTCATGAACTGACCACGGCAAGTGTAACTTTATCTCGCATATCTGATGATCCGCGCAGCTATTGCTTATTTAAGCCCTCGGCACAATGTCGTCGGCCATCAAGCATGAATCAGACATCAAGCAATGTGAGTATCAAATACTATAGAATTTATACTATCCTGGCACATTGAACCGCGCTTCTCATGCGCGGGCGTTTTCAAGAGTATTACTTAATATATTATATCTAACTACGCTAAAAGTTTTATCATTGTGGCTTGGGAATATAATCTGAAACCCCGCGCAACCCCTTGGGGAAAATAGCGTGATGCTATGAATATTGCATTAGTGTGACCATGAGGTACGGGTGGTGAAGAAAGGTTATACAATTTTTTGGTTCATAATGGCTTAAACAGGATAATCTCAAGATTTTTTATCTTTAATGTATTCATCATCATCATTACAGCCCTTCACAAGTCCACTGCTGAACATAGGCCTCCCCCAAAGAATACCAAAAAGCACGGTCCTGAGCCACCTGCATCCATCGACTTCCTGCATGTCTTACCAGGTCGTCACTCCATCTCGTGGGGGGACGCCCTACACTTCGCCTACCGGTACGAGGCTGCCACTCGAGAACCTTTCTTCCCCATCGGTTGTCGGTTCTTCGAGCTATATGGCCGGCCCACTGCCACTTCAGCTTAGTAATCCGTTGGGCTATGTCGGTCACTCTGGTTCTACTGCGGACATCCTCATTCCTAAGTTTATCACGCAGAGAAACTCCGAGCATAGCCCTCTCCATAGCTCGCTGAGCGACCTTGAGCTTCCTCATACGGCCAGCAGTGAAGGACCACGTCTCAGTTCCGTAAGTCATCACTGGCAACACGCACTGGTTGTACAATTTCGTTTTAAGGTTTTGAGGTATGTCTGACGAGAAGATGTGTCGTAGCTTCCCGAACGCTGCCCAGCCGAGTTGAATCCGTTGATTGACCTCTCGGTCGAAGTTGGACTTACCTAGTCGGACTATTTGTCCCAGGTAAACATACTCGTCAACAACTTCGAGCTTAGTGCTCCCAACAACTACCGGCATAGGTGTGACATGGACATTAAACATGATCTTTGTTTTGTCCATGTTCATCTTAAGATCTATCCGTTGGGAAACACTATTGAGGTCATTGAGCATAGTGCTTAGGTCCTCCATCGATTCTGCCATAAGGACTATATCGTCGGCAAATCGAAGGTGAGTGATGTACTCGCCATTGATGTTGATACCGTATCCTTTCCAGTCCAGAAGCTTGAAAACGTCTTCCAATGCAGCGGTGAAGAGTTTCGGGGATATGACGTCACCCTGTCTTACACCTCTCTGCAATTGGATAGGTTTCGTACTCTGGTTCTGTACTCGGATAGCCATCGTAGCCCTACTGTACAAGCACTTCAACACTTCGATATACCGACAGTCAACTTGGCACCGCTGAAGGGACTGCAGCACCGCCCAAATTTCGACGGAATCAAAGGCTTTCTCATAGTCCACATACGCCAGACATAGTGGCAAATTGTACTCTTCGGACTTCTGTACAACTTGCCGAAGGGTATGTATGTGGTCTATGGTGCTAAAGCCCTTTCGGAAACCGGCTTGTTCGGGAGGCTGGAAGTCGTCAAGTCTGCGCGCGAGACGATTCGTAATGACTCTCGAAAACAGCACGTAGACGCGGCTCAGAAGGGAAATCGGTCTGTAGTTCTTCAAGAGAGCGTTGTCACCTTTCTTGAAGAACAAGACCACCGCACTTCTGCTCCACGCCTCCGGTGTAATGCCACCATGGAGGACGGAATTAAAGAGCTTCTGAAGGACTTCAAGTACCGGTCTTCTACCCGCTTTCAGAAGCTCCGCTGTAATTCCATCCTCGCCTGGGGCCTTACCGTTTTTAAGGTGCTGGAGAGCCATCCTAATCTCGCTCAGACATCCGGGATATCTTCGGAATAGTGTCGGATGAGACTCGCTCTTGGATCGTTACTCACACTTGCGTGTGGCTCCAACGATGATGTGTACAGCTGCCCATAGAACCTCTCAATCTCACTCAAAATCTCAGGTGTCCCGGAAACGATGCTGCCACATTCTGTCTTCAGCTTTGACAGTTGGCTCTTTCTGGAAGACAGATCTCTGGCAAAGACTTTGGAGCCTTGGTTCCGCTCGATCGCTTCTTCAATACGAGCTGTATTGAAGTTGCGTAAGTCCCGCTGCATGCATTTGGAGATCTGTCTGTTCAGATGCTTGTATGCTGTCAAATCTGTTGAAGAATGTAGCTTCATCTCCCGTCTAACAGCCATGAGATAAAGAGTGATATTGGAGAGTTTTTGTGTTCTTCTGCGGCGGGTCTTGCAGAACTTAGCTCCGACCGCATGGACAGTTTCCACGAGCTTGTCATTCATATCGTCCACTTCATTGCAGTCTTCCAGGCACTGAAAACGGTTTTGTAACTCGAGCTGAAAGGTTTCGGGACTTTGGAACAGAGCACGAGGGGGACGGAGCGTTGACTTCATTAGACGAGACCTCTCCAACTTAACGTTTAGGTTCAGTGTGCCTCTAACCATTCGGTGATCGCTACCAGTTTCCACCCTCGCGATCACGGAGACATCACTGAACAGTTGTCGTCTGGTCGTCATAATGAAGTCAATCTCATTTTTTGTGGAACCGTCGGGGCTCGACCAGGTCCACTTCCTGTGGGGCCGCTTCTGGAAGAAAGAGTTCATCATAAAGAGTCCCTCTTTCTCCATAAAGTCGGCCAGCTGCTGGCCCCTTGGGTTCCGTTGCCCTATTCCAAATTTCCCCACTTTCAGCTCACCGTTCTCTCTTGTGCCTAGTTTTGCATTGAAGTCTCCCATTAACACCGTATATTGGGTTTTGGAGGAATGCATGGCTCTAGAGATATCCTCATACATTTCCTCCACCTCCTCATCGGGGTGTGCCGAGGTTGGTGCGTAAACCTGTATGACCTTCAGCGAATACCGTTTGGTGATTCTGAGTATAAGGTACGCAACCCTCGTCGACACACTCCCGATCTTTACAACGTTGTTAACGAGAGACTTGTGGACGATAAATCCGACACCTCCTTGGGACAGATGGTCGCCCTCCCGGTGATAGAGCAAGTTGCCGGATTCGAGGATTACCGTGTCCTCCCCCTCTCTTCGGACTTCGG